TTTAATCACTCTGGTGCTAATGCAACCCGTGCTTCAATACAAGAATGATTCTCTTACCAGAGACGGGGAAATATGTACATTGTGCCTGGGAGACAGGGAGACTTTCGTAGGCATAGCGTTACCCCTTGGTTTTCACAGCTCTTTGTCTGCGTCTCTCTCGGGACGCAGCTCTATAGCTCCCAATAGACAAGCTCTGCATGCACCCAGGATCTGTCCAGAGATCATGGTGAAGACCTGACTTTTCTCGGACCCTGGATCACCGAGCTCCATGCCTGGGAGGTCAAGTAAACGTAATCACCAACTGTGAGAACAGGCGTTGCAAGTGCAGATCTCTGCCTGAGCAAAGCGGCTCTTCACTGGCTCTCAGACCCTCGGAGCTGCAGGAGCCACAGCCTGGATGTCAAGGTCGTGTGGAAGGGTTGAGGTGCAAACAGGAGCCTCTTCACAAGATTGCAAACTTCTGGGCAGCACCAAGCGTGTCCCTTCACCTTTGTGGCCTCTAAAAGCCCAGCACAGGTCGTTGCTGAGGGAGGAAAGGTCACTGTCTAGTCAGCGGGGCTGGAATAAGGGGATTCCCCTTAGTTTTTCACGTCATTTTCTTCATGAAAGCTTTATTTTTTTTATTAAAGGAACGTATTTGGATAAGTAATTACATATCACTCCTGTTAACTCTATTTTTAAAAATGCTTTTTAAAAAACCATCATTCCATTTGAGAATTTTGAAAAATGTTCTTTTTGCCATTCTTGGCTAAGAAAGCTACATTTCCCGGGGATTTCATGACACCTTTGTCAGGTACACATGGGAGCTGGCTTTCGTTTGACCCTTCACCCTCGCCCTCTCCGTGAGGCCACCCTCTCCTCTGAGGCACATGCCTTCAGCCCAGTTGCCACCCTCGTTTAGTCGCCAGAGAACCAGCTTCTGCCACCTGCTCCGTCTCTTGGTCTGCCTCTGCTCTTTGCTGCCCCAAATCCCAACACCAGCCAGGTTCGTCCCTGCTGGGCTGTCCAGGGAATCGGGACAGGTGGGCGTGGGGACTAATCCAAGTAAACGGGGTAAGTCACAGTGGGGCGTAGACACTCATTAAACACTCTGAGGGGGTCACCCATCCATGTGAAAATGTACAAAGAGGTAAAAATGCCTGCATTTTAGCCTCTTCAAGACTTCCTTCTTAGAGAGCCCTTGAGTCCGAAAGAATACATCAGCTTGCAGTGAACTACAGCTTACTCAGTTTAGCTTAAGAAAGGGGCTTATTTGAAGAGAGTTACCTGTTTCCAGGAGAAGTAAGCAAGCCGGCCTGGGACAACGGCAGGTGGGACTCAGGACCTCCGCAGGGGCGATGGGCCTGCACACCGCACACGTCCCTCCAGCTCTGAGGGTTGGGAAGGGGCGGTTCCTACCCGGTGCCCAGGCCTGACCAGCCAGCTATGGCCTGAGGTGTGGGGCTGCCCCACCTGGGCCAGGTGAGGTTTAGACACGCAGGTGAGCTGGTCTGTGCTCACTGTTGTTCCTAGGCACTGACAGTCCTCCTTCAGCACTGCAGTCTAGGCAAGCAGCCATCTAGGGGAGGTCTTTCCATTTATCTTTTGAGAAGATAATGTCCAAAAAATGACATTTCTCTCGTCTTTATTCCATTAAGAA